GGTCCGACCCGCGGTCCCCTCCGTGGGGGTCCAGCGCCAGCCATTACGCTAACTGCTGGTTCCCAGTTTCTACCATCTTCATCTTAGTTGTACTATTGATAATTCTTGTTCTGGTCTTGAAATCCTCAGGTAATTCAGCACTTTATCTTCTCTACTTTGTTGCCATCATGACGTTCAGCTTTCAGCCTGCTTCCGGCTTCCCCCTCCACCCCTGTTTTTTTTATTTTTATTTTTTTTTAAAAGGTTTTTGCAATAGGGTGCAGGTGCTCTCCAGAGAGAGAGAGAGACAGTGAGAGGGAAAGTGAGGAAATCACCCCACCCAGGGGGATGACTACATCACAGTCTCATCTCCTCCATTCTCCTCCTGGGATTTTGGCCATGCACACACACACACATGCTCGACGTGATTTTCAAGCAACCAGGTCTGGGACTCGAACCATGGTCGACTGTGTGGGAGTCCAGTGTCTTAGCCACCACACCATCTCCTGGCCCCAAAGTTTTGATCAGCTCGTTTTTACAGTAGAGAAGAAAGTGTCAGGAACCCCATTATGCCATCACTGGCTTTAGTAGTTATTAACATTTCATCAGTTTTTTAAAAAGTTATATTTATTTTTGCCATGAATAAGAGAGAGAGATAGAGAGAGACAGCACCCCCCAACAGGGTCCTGATGATGTGATTCACCCTAGCCTTGGCCAGCCCCAGATCATGGACAAATGCATGCCCAGCTTACTCTGGGAGTAAGCTTTGAACATGAGCGCGGAATCTTCCCTTGTGATTGAGCCTTGAAGAGTGTTGCATTTGGGAACCAGCAGTTAGCGTAATGGCTATGTCGCTGGATTCCCACGTAGTCGACCGCGGTTCGTGTCCTGGACCCGGTGGCTTAAAACTCACGCCGGGCGCGTGTGCGTGCATGCCCAAGATCCCGAGAGGAGAATGGAGGAGAAGGGATTGCGGCGTGACCATCCCCCCTGGGGGGGTGATTTCTCGCTTTCTGTCTCTATGTCTCTCTCTGTCTGTCTGGCGAGCGCACGCGCCCTACAGTGAAAATCTCTCAAAAAAAAAAAAAGAGTGTTGCATTTTACCACTGCGCTGCTATCTGGCCTTGAACACTCTGCCAATTTTATGTGACCTAACCTCCCCCTTCTCTTATTTACTTTTTTTTTTTTTTTTTTTCCCGGAACATGTGGAAGCAAATTTAAAATGATTCGTATCATCTTACCAGTGTTGAGTAACATCTCTAGCTGGAAATAATAGTATTTTAAACATTATCATACCTAATAAAAGTTATAATAATTAGTACAATTCTTTAATATCATCTGATATGGAGACTATATTTAGATTTCTCCTTATTATCTTGTATGATACTTATTCCATCCCTCCTTCTTTTCATCCTTCCCTCCCTCTGTCTCTCCTCCCTAATTTTGGTTCAAACAGTATCCACATGTGCTACTTGGTTATTTTGTGTTTTAAATCCTTTTCGTAACCCTCATCCCACCTGCCCATCCTTTTTCCCCACCATGTCATTGAATTGTTGGAGAATTGGCCCTGGGTGCAGTAGACTGTCAGCACATTCCCCGTGCTCGATCAAGCTGGTAACTTCCACAGGGTGGTGTCAGGGATGCCTTCCCTCCACTGTATTTCCTTCAAATTAGCAATAGGATCTAGAACCTGGATTAGGCTCCATTTCAGGTTTTTTAGGCAAGAGATTTTCATAGGTGTGTACGTTTTCAGTTACACAATGTCCGACTGTCCCACGGTTTAGCTGAGGCTACACAGGCAAGAACATTCTGCATGTTTGCTCATGTGATTAAGTGCTGACTTGAGCAGTTAGGATTACTCCAGGCTACTCTGGCTGCTCTGCAGGGGATTTGAACAGGAATAAAAATCACATGCTTCCGCTCAAGCAGATGCCTGTAATCCTGGGAACAAAAACACAGCTCCGCACACTCATCCCATGTGCTCACTGTGGGCGTTCCCTGATTGCCGTCAGCTTGGACAGGAGCTGGCAAACGTCACAGAGGGCCAGAGAGTCGATATTTTATACTTTGCAAGCCACACGAGGTCTCTGTCAAATATTTTTATTTATTTATTTATTTATTTCTCTATTTTTACTAGAGGGTATATGTGTTTGCCAGAGAGAGAGAGAAGGAGAGAGAGAGAGAGAGAGAGAAGAGGAGAAAGCCATTCCCACAAGGGATCATTGTGCCGCAATCCTTTCTCTTCTATTTCTCCCTCCGTTTAGGGTTTTGGGGATGCACACATGCATTCTCAAGCTGCATCATCCTGGACTCGAACCATGTGGTTGGCCATGTGGGATCAACTGCCTTAAAACTGTGCCACAGAGCTGGCTCACATACTCTTTTCTGTTGCTGTTTTATAACCCTTAAAAAAATGTAGAAACCAGGACTAGCAGATGACATGGGGGTTAAGGCACTGGACTTCCACTTGGCCAACTACAGTTCAAGGTCTGGGCCTGGGGATTTGCATTCTCACTTTCTTTCTCTTTCTCCCTCTCTCTGGTAAGTATATGTGCCCTATAGCAAATTAATAATAATAATAATAAATAAATAAAATTTAAAATATACATATATAATCCATTTTAGCTCATGGGCTATGTAAAAATAGACTATAGACTGGATTTGATCTCCGACTTCAGTTTGCTCTAAGGAATGACTTAAGAGTTTAAGATCGGGACTACAGATGGTGTAATGGTTACATGGCTGGACTCCACACGGCCAGCCGTGGTCCAAGTCCCATACCCAGTGGTTTCAAACTCATGCCAGGTGCATGTGTGTGCATGCCCAAGATTCCGAAAGGAGAATGGAGGAAAAGGGCAATATTGCAGTGTGGCCATCGCCCCTGGGGAGGGTGATTTCTTGCTTTCTGTCTCTCCATCTCTCTCTCTCCCCAATGAGCGCACATGCCCTATAGCAAAAATCGCTCTCTCAAACAAAAAAAAAAAAAGGGGGCTCAGGAATTTCCTCTCACACCTGGGATTTGCTCCTTTCCCATAGACCCTGCTTGACCAACAGGAGCTGCTTTGTGGACAGATTGCTGGGGTTGTCCGCTGTATCTCTGACATTTCTGGCTCTACGCCCACACTCATCCGTCTGCGGAAACTCAAGTTTGCCATAAAGGTCGATGGAGATTACCTTTGGGTAAGTTTAGCAGGCAGAATCAGTATTGAAGTGTTGCGATGATAAAGTTTAAAAAGTTGCATTTTCTTTGGCTTTTTTTTTTTTTTTTTTTCCTTTTTAAGTTTATTATTTCTTCTATGAGCAAGAGAGACAGCACTCCCAGCTGGGTCTTGATGTCATGATTCACCCCCACCCTCAGCCCTGGGTCATGGGCAGTCCTGTGTCCAGTGTTCACAGGGAGGTCTCCAGATGCCAGCTGGAACCTTCCCATGGGGGGCAGCCTCACAGTGTTGGGTCTTATCACTGTGCCACTGTGCGGCCCCCTCTGGCTCTCGAACCTAGAATCACCTCCTCTATAGCTGTCGTCCTGTGCTCAGCGATTGTCCACACTCCCGTGCCACTCTGCAGGTGCCTGTCATAATCAGTGCTCTCCAGTATGCTGCGTGGTACTCTGCTGGCTTCTCCTTTCTTTGAAAGACTTAGGGCGATCAAAGGAAATTCTGTGTACTCTGTGTTGTAAGTGGAGTTTTTAATCTTCCTTTATTCTCCTCTGTACTCTGTATACTTACTGACTAAGGGACCTACAAAAATATGCATGCATATATGTTAGATTTCAAAGAACCCACTAAAAAAAAAAAGAAGAATTCTTCTTTACATCTAGTAGTACCGTGTAATCTAAAGTGTTTTTCCCATGTGTCTGCTTATTTTAAGGGTCCCTAAGGGGAAGGGCTGTTTAGTGTGGGGTAGGATATTTCACTTTGCAGGTATTATTTTCAACATTCTATTATGAAAAAAGTTCTTTATTTCAAATTTGGCAGATGGTTTGTGTGATCACCAGAGGGACAGAGGGGCAGGGAAAAAGCCCCAGTGGGGCATGGTCACACTGCAGTCCCTTTGCCTCCATTTCTGCACTCTGTCAGGATTTGGGGCACACACGTACATGCGCCTGGCATGTTTTTCAAAGCTGCTGGGGCCATAATATAAACTGTATAGTTGGTCATGTAGGATCTAACTCCCTTAACCTCTAGGTTTTCAGGCACTAGCCCTGAAAAATGTCTAACCTACTCAGTAATTGAGAGAATTTTGCACTGATTACTCACATCCCTCCTCAAATAATTGACATTTTAGTATTATTGCTTTACCACGTGTCCTTCTGTTTATCTCTTTTTCTTCCCATGAATCAAGATTTTTTTTTTTTAAGGGGCTGGCAAGTAGCGTGGTGGTTTAGGCACTGAATTTTCATGGCTGACCACATTTCAAGTCCAAGACCCAGCAGCCTGAAAAATCACGATGAATTAATAAATTTTAAAAATAATAAAAGGTTATTTTATGCTTTTCAAAGTCGTTCACAATAGTGTACTCCTTGCCCCCGCTTTATTTTATCATACATATTATTAACTAGAATTTATTATGGGAGTTTATTTTGTAGTAAGATTTATGTGCAGTGAAGTAAAAAAAATCTTGAGAGGACCATTCCATACACTTGAACAAATGACACATCTTTGCAACATAAGTCCCTATCACAATATGTAATATTGTTATCCCAGAAAGCTTCGTGTGCCTCCCCAGTGAGCTCTACCCCACAGCATCATAGGCAGTGATTGTTCTTAACTTTTTTGTTCAAGAGGTTAGTTTTGCCTGTCCTAGAACATCATGGAAAATAGTCCCGTTACATGCTTACACGTTTCTGTTCTGCCACTTAACATGTGAGAGTCATCTGTTTTGCTGCATGTCTCAGTGTTCATTCCTTTTGTTAATATTGTAGACAGTATCCCATTGTCCGAGAATATCACAGGCTCTTTTTTCTCTTTTTCATGGACACCTAAACTGAGTCCAGTTTGGGGCAATTAAGAAAGAATAAGGCTTCTAGTGCCAGCAGGTGGTGTGGAGGTTAAGGCACTGGATCCCACATGGCCAGCTTTGCAGTTCAATCCTGGACCCAGTAGCTTGAGAATCATGCCAGGTACATGTGCATGCGTGCCCAAAATCCAAGAGGAGAATGGAAGAGAAGGGATTGGAGCATGGCCGTTTCCCCCTTTATCTTTTTTTCTCTCTGGTGAGCACGCATGCCCTATAGTAAAAAGTTCAAAAAAAAAAAAAAAAAAAAAAAAAAAAAAAAAAAAAAAGGAATAAAGAACATTCCTATATGGCCTTTCTCTGGATATGTATTTTCATTTTTATTGGGTAAATATTCCAAGCATGAGATTATGCGATTGCTGGGCCACAGAGCAGATATATGCTAACTTTTGTAGAGAGCTGCTAGGCCTTTTTCCAAAGTGCCTTTACCATCCCCCATCCTCACTGACGATGTTGAATTCTAGGCTCCCCACATTGTCGTCAGCATTGCTTGTCTGTACGTTTAGCTTTAGCCGTTCTGCTGGGTGTATAGGGTATGTCGGTATAGTTTTAATTTTCATTTCCCTAATGACCGGTGACACTAAGGCTTTTTCATGTGCTTAATGGCCATTTGTGTATCTTCCTTTTTGAACCGTTCAAAGCTTTTGCCCACTTAAAAATAAAAATTGCCAGAGGGTGTGTGCACTGCCAAACCAAGAAGGAGAAAACTCCCCAGTGGGGTATAGTCATGCCACAGCTCCTTTTCCTTCGTTCCTCCATCCCGTTGGAATTTTGGGCACGTATACACATGTGCCCAGAGGTTTTCCAAGTCTCCATGGCTGGGAATCATGCACATTAGCCCAGGGTGATTTTTCAAGTCTCCAGGGCTGGGAGTTTTGTTTTTGTTTTGTTTTGAGAAGTTTTGAGAAGTTTTTGCTATAGGGCATGTACACACACCGGAAAGACAGAGGAGACAAAGAGACAGAAAGTGAGAAATTGTGGCCACGCCGCAATCCCTTCTCCTCCATTCTCCTCTCGGGATCTCGGGATCTTGGGCACGCACACACACGCGCCCAGCGTGAGTTTAAGCCACTGAGTCCGGGACTTGAACCGTGGTCAACTACATGGGAGTCCAGCAACATAGCCATTCTGCCAACCGTTAGTCCCCAGGGCTGGGATTTAAGCCATGGTTGGTCATGTGGGATCTCTTAATTGCTAGGTTGTGGAGCTGGCCCTTGCTCTTTTTTTTTTTTTTATATTGGGTTTTCTTTTTTCTTTTTTTTTTTTAATTGAGTGGTTTTGTTTTGTTTTGTTTTGGCCAAAGACTAAATATGTTTGCAGGAAAAACACAGCCGCAGTCCCCCCTTCTCTCAGTATTTTGTGCATGCATGCACGTGCACCTGGGGTGGTTTTCAAGCCTCCACGTCCAGGACTTGAAGCATGCTCAGATGTGTGGTAATCTAGTGCCTTAACTACCACACCACCTGCTAGCCCCCTTTTCTTTTGTTTTTTTTTTAAATGCCAAAGGATATGTGCACATGACAGAGAGAGAGAGAGGAAGCACCCCCAGTGGGGCCTAGGCTGGCTGTAGTCCTTTTTCCTTCTTTAATTCTCCATCCCTTCAGGATCTGGGCATGTATGCATGTGTCTGGCATATATCTTTCAAACCACTGGAGCTGGGTCTCAAACCCAGGTTGGCAATGTAGCACTTAGCTGCTGTGGTACAGGACTGGCCCTATTTTTTTAATTTGCTAAAGGGTACGTGCACTCACTGGAGAGAGACAGAGAGAGAAGGAAAGTGAGAAAGCACTTCCCAGGGAGGATGGCCATGCTGCAGTCCCCTCTCCTCCTTCTCCTTTCGGAATTTTGGGCATGGACACACACATGTCTGGTGTATTTTTCAAGCCACTGGATCCAGGACTTGAACCATTGGGTCAGCCATTGTGGGATCTAGCCCCCGTAGATGCCATGCCACTGGCTGCTCTTTATGTCTCCTGGATACTAGTTCTTTGTTAGATACATATTTTGAAAATATTTTGTGGCATACCTATCAATTTTTTTTTGTTTTGTTTATTAATTTCTTCTATAACAGAGAGGGAAAGAGAGAAACAGGCAGTCCTGCCCCCATGCTGCAATCCACCTCCAGCCTCAGCCAGCCAGGTCATGTACATCTGGCGTGTACAGGGTGGGACCTGGGATCTCCCCATGTGGCTTTTAGCATGGTAGAGCCTGGTATTACTTCAGTGCCACTGTAGCTGTCCTGTTTTCTTGAAATTTTTTGATGAGCAGAAATCTTGGTTTTAATGAAGTCTAATCAGTGGTTAATTGCTTATGGTTAAGTGCTTTCTGTTTCTGTATCTTATGTAAGAAACTGTTGGCTTCCCCTTTGGAATCTCTGTTTTTTTCCTAAGAAGTTTATAATTTTAGCTTTTATTTTATTATTTACTTATTCTTCCTTCTTTCTTTTTTATTTTTTTAGAATTTTGCCATAGGGTATGTGTGCTCATCAGAGATACAAAGAGAGAAAGTGAAAAATCACCTCTCCCACGGGGGTGGCTCTGCCACAGTCCTATTGCTGCCATTCTATTCTCGGGGTTTTGGGCATACATGTGCATGCTCCTGGTGTGAGTTTCAAGCTGCCAGGTCTAGGACTCGAGCCATGTCAGCCATGTGGCAGTCTAGCGTCTTAACCACTATGTCACCTGCTGGCCCTAGCTTTTACATTCAGGCCTATAACCCATCTTAGATTAATTTTTGTGAATGGTGTGAGTAGAGGTCAAAATATTTCCTGCCTTGATAGGGAGTTCTAGCACTGTTGTTGAAAAACTTTCCTTTCCCTCTTGGATTCTTTTGGCTCCCTTGCCAAAGATCACATGGCCATTTAAGCGTTGAGTATTATTTCTGAGCTCTCTGCTCTTTTCCATTGGTCTATCTTAAGATTCTGGGTGAGTACCACACCGTGGGGATTTTTGTAACTTTATAGCGAGACTTGAAACTGGGTAGTGTAAGCCCTCCAACCTTATTTTTTCAAAATAGGTTTGGATATTCTAGATCTTTTGTGTCTCCATTGTAGAATCATTTGGTCAGTTTCTAAAGAGAAGCAGGAGTGATTGATTTGGATGTATTCAATTGAGAGATCGCTTGTGGGAGAAGGAAGCTTCTCTGTGTGCTAGACTCTTCCAGCTCTCGGGTTAGATCAGCGAACGAGACAGAACCTCGCCTTACTGCAGTACACATGCAGGGGGACTTTCTGTTGCTATTTATTTTCTGTCAGGGTTAATTTGTTTAAATTTCCCCTTTCTTTCCTTCTAATTGCCAGAGAGTGCATGTGCTTACTAGAAAGACAGACAGGGAGAGGGAAAAAGCACCTCCCCATGGGGCATGGTCACCGCACACTCCCTTCTCCACTTCTCCACCCTATGGGGATTTTGAGCGTGTACACACATGCATTGATGTGTCTTTCAAGCCGCTGCTGCTGGGATTCAAACTACGGTCAGCTCTGTGGGATTTGGCTCCCTTAACCACTAAGCTATGGGGCCAGCATTACTTAAATTTCTGATGGTTCTTTCAAGATAGGTCTTAGAGTAGAATTACTAGTCAAAGCACTTGAACTTTGTCAGGCTCTTTAAACATGGCCGCATTACTTTCTGTCTCAGCTAGCCTGTGTCTCTGTAGAGCGAAGCATTGCATTCAGCCTTTGGGAGGTGTGCAACTGCGATGGTGCAGTCAGTTCCTGCCCTGGAAGGTCTTCAGGTAGAGAGCCAGATGGCCGTTCAGGAGACGATCTGAGTCTGTCCAGTGTTTGTACCAAACCCAGGTTAAACATCCAATGTCCAGATAACGGTCCTGACAATGAAGGGGTCAGAAAAGAGGGCAGACTTGGCCAGCATGGGCAGAACAGCGTCACGGAGTTCTCGGGTCTGTGCTGGCCCCCGAGGGCTGTGTGAGCCCTGGGTAAGGAGCAGGAAGAGGAGGGCACATCAGGTTGGGCAGCATGACTGAGGTATGAAAGTCCTTGCTGTCTGTGAGGGCCAGCAGCATGGGCTCAGGGGCAGTAGATCCATTTCTTCCTTTCTAAAAAAGAGTTACTTCATTTCTTCCATGAGTAAGAGAGAGGCAGTGATAGTACCCCCAGCAGAGTCTTGAGGTGGAACCTTAGTCTCAGCCAGCAGTGGCTCATGGACGTGCATGTGCCTGGTGCACTAGCGGAGGTCTCTGGATGCGAACTCGGAACCTTTCCGTGTGGATCAGCCTCCTGGAGAGGTGCATTTTACCACTATGCCGCCCTCTGGCCCGCAGAAGATCAATGTCCATGGGCTCTGAAGGCTGTCATCGAGCACTCTGCTCCCAGGACCAGGCTTGGATTCAAGGAAAAGGCCAATGCGCATCTTCCTGGCTCCCCTTTGCAGGTACTGGGCTGTGCTGTGGAGCTCCCTGATGTTAGCTGCCAACAGTTTCTGCATCAGCTCATTGGATTCTTCCATTTTTACAACGGACCTGTTTCTCTGGCTTACACAGTACGTGGTAATGGCATAGAGTCGCGCGTGGGCTGCTTGAGCAAGGATCGTCAGGTCTCAGCACTTACTCTGGGGCTCATCAGGCTTTACATAAACACGTGTGTCCAACCGCAAGGCCAAGGGCCCTCAGGGCCCTGCTCGAGTGCCTCCGTTCCCACGCCAGCTCCTCCTTTCCTCCCTGGGCTGGTGAGAAGGAGCAGGTTCTGGCTGCCCCTTACCCAGCAGGCACCCTGGTCCGTCATGGCGCGGGTTGTCAGGGTGGGACATGGGCAGGACATACATGTGAAGGGCGTTCAGAACAGGCCTTTCCTTGTGGCCAGTTTCCTGTGGGAGGAGCTGTTTCCATGTAGTTGGGATCCTTGCCAAAGGGAGTCTGTCCCCCCAAATCTCAGATACCGAGCTCAGCTGTTTCTGTTCTAGAACTGTTCTCAGGAAGAACTGAGCGGGGAGTGGGACACCTTCATCGAACAAATTCTGAAGAACACCAGCGACCTGCACAAGATATTCAATTCCCTCTGGAACTTGGACCGAACTAAAGTAACATTCTCATCCCCCTGATTCATTTCCTATATAAAAATAGAACTTTTAGACACAGTGTCTATACTCCTCAAATGCACTCAGTCTAGAGAAGCAAGTAGAATGTGTCATTTTATAGGCGGGATAGTCGGGATAGTCGGGATAGTCGTTAAGCCTTCGCTCCCTTTCATGCTGCTGCCCACTAGCTGTGCTAGCCTGGACGGGTGACGCCACCTCTCAGCCTCATTGCCTTTCTCCATAAAATGGTAACACAGTGGGCCAGCAGGTGGTGCGGACTTTAAGACGTCACAGCTTACGTAGCCAGCTGTGCAGTTGGAGTCCTGGACTCAGCAGCTTGAAAAACACACTGGGCATGTGTGCATACATGCCCAAAATCCCAGGAGGAGACCGAAGGAGAAGGGATTGTGGTGGGGTCGTCCCCCTGCCCTGGGGGGTGCTTGCTCACTTTCTCGCTCTCTCTTTGGTGAGTGCAAGGACTCTACAGCAAAAGAAAAAAAAAAAAAAGGGCAGGTAGTTAGTTCCTGTCTCCCAGAATGTTTTTAGTTTTTTGGGCGTTTTTTGTTTTGTTTTTGTTTTTGCTATAGGGGACGTGTGCTCACCAGAAAGAGACAGAAGAGAGAAAGTGAGAAATCACCTTCCTGGGGAAATGGCCACGCTGCAGTTCTTTCTCCTCTTGGGATTTCGGGCATGCACACACGTGCACGTGCACGTGCACCTGGAGTCATTGTCAAGTTGTCAGGTCCAGTACTGGAACTGCAGTCAGCCGCGTGGGACTCAGCGCCACCTGCTGGCCACTAGAACTGTTATAAGATGAAGCAGTAGCTGAAATGACACCAAGTAAATCACAAAGGGAATTACTGAGTGTCTTATGCCTCAGAGGCGTTGGACTCCTCTCTGGAGTTGGATTTAGTTACTCTCAATAGCAGAGAAGCCTGGCATTAACATTTTATCAACCAGGTGCTGTGTCTGAGAGAGAAGCCTGGGAGTGGTTTTGTCTCTCTGAGCAGCCCCTCTGGCCACCGGCAATTGGTGTAGCCCCGGCTGCCTGTGTGACTGGCCTGACCACCTCTGCTGTCCCTTGACAGCCACAGACATCTTTTATTTATTTATTTTTTGAAGAGGTTTTTTCGCTATAGGGTGCGTGCGCTCACTAGACAGACAGAGAGAGACAGAGAGATAGAAAGCGAGAAATCACCCCCAGGGGGGATGGCCACGCCGCAATCCCTTCTTCTCCATTCTCTTCTCAGGATCTTGGGCACGCACGCACACACGCCCGGTGTGAGTTTTAAGCCACCAGGTCCGGGACTCGAACCACGGTCGACTATGTGGGAGTCCAGCGACATAGCCATTACACTAACTGCTGGTCCCCTGAGCTACAGACATCTTATGACGAGGGTATTCCCTGCCACCAACCCCCCTTGTGTCCCTTTAGCAGGTGTGTGGCACTGTGACTCGACCTTCACCTAGGGAGACTCCATAGAGGTGAGGAAGGCTTAACCTCCCCCTGTCTGGAGGCTTTCTTGAAGGCCTGAAGCCTTGTAGATGGCTGCTTGGGACTGAGCAGAGTCTCAAGGCCACGAAAGAATAAATGATACTTCCTTGCATGGCAACAGCTCCAAAGTGTGGCTCTGCCAACCCTGAGTTCTGACAGCCAGTGCAGACACAGGCTCTAGCTGCCAAGCAGGCAGGTGGAGATCCAAAGAGGCTGTTGGTTGGTTGTGGATATTCTCAGCCAGGTTCAGATGTCTTTTTTGGATTTCTAGGCACCTGATACTTAGGTGGAACCGAGGCACCTTCCCTGAGCAGAAGACCATGGGGTTTTCATTTTATGTTACGGAAAAGAGTTGCGGGAGCTGGTTGGACATCAGCCAGGCCAGCTGACTGGCCATGGGCATTGTGCTTCTGCGGAGGGCAGGGGTGGCTGGGCTTCACCTGGAACCATGACCTGCATTTGGAGGGGTGCTCTCCCCTTCTGCTGCTGTGGTCTCTGCACAGAGGGTAAGGGTCTCTGAGGAATCGATTTTGCCCCCTGCAAAGAGCCATATGCCACATTGGCTGTACTTCTGGCCTCCAGAGAGGCCCCTTTCCTCTTAAGAATTTGGCAATTTTTGGTGTTGTGGCATTTTTTTTTGGTGTCAGCAGTTCTGGGAATGGAGGTTGAATAGACCCAAGGCATGACACAGACTTTACCATGTGACATGCTCCTTCTCCGGGCTTTACGTGATAACCTGTCCATCTGTCTAACAGCACCCCTGGGCCTTGTCTCTCTTGCTGACCATGTGTGTGCTGATAGGTGTCCGTGCTTCTTGTCCTGCAGGTAGAGCCCCTGCTGTTGCTGAAGGCGGCCCTCATTCTGCAGACGTGCCAACGCGCACCTCACATCCTAGCTGGCTGCATCCTCTATAAGGGGTGGTGATTACCGCCAAGCCCCCCACCTCCACCCACATCTCCTGCTGCAGAACTCACCATCCCAGCCTCCTCCAGAGCATGGGTGGGGAGCGCAGTCTGTGGCTAGTGCCAAGTGGGCTGGTTGGCAAATAGTGGGTTGTTCAGGTTTGATCCAGAGTATGTACCCGTCTTTGAGCAAAGCTGGGAACTTGGAAATTACTGTGTTCCAAAAAGAGTTGAGAGCAAAAGGAAAGGGAACCGTGTTATTCTTGATGTGGAGAGGGCCTGTTATGGTTGCCCTTCTGCAAAATGCATTGCAAGGCCCTTGACAGCAGCTGGCATTATAAGTAAGGTCCGGCCCCCCGGAATTGGGTGTACCCCCGCCTGCCTGTGTGACTGGCCTGACCACCTCTGCTGTCCCTTGACAGCCACAGACATCTTTTATTTATTTATTTTTTGAAGAGGTTTTTTCGCTATAGGGTGCGTGCGCTCACTAGACAGACAGAGAGAGACAGAGAGATAGAAAGCGAGAAATCACCCCCAGGGGGGATGGCCACGCCGCAATCCCTTCTTCTCCATTCTCTTCTCAGGATCTTGGGCACGCACGCACACACGCCCGGTGTGAGTTTTAAGCCACCAGGTCCGGGACTCGAACCACGGTCGACTATGTGGGAGTCCAGCGACATAGCCATTACACTAACTGCTGGTCCCCTGAGCTACAGACATCTTATGACGAGGGTATTCCCTGCCACCAACCCCCCTTGTGTCCCTTTAGCAGGTGTGTGGCACTGTGACTCGACCTTCACCTAGGGAGACTCCATAGAGGTGAGGAAGGCTTAACCTCCCCCTGTCTGGAGGCTTTCTTGAAGGCCTGAAGCCTTGTAGATGGCTGCTTGGGACTGAGCAGAGTCTCAAGGCCACGAAAGAATAAATGATACTTCCTTGCATGGCAACAGCTCCAAAGTGTGGCTCTGCCAACCCTGAGTTCTGACAGCCAGTGCAGACACAGGCTCTAGCTGCCAAGCAGGCAGGTGGAGATCCAAAGAGGCTGTTGGTTGGTTGTGGATATTCTCAGCCAGGTTCAGATGTCTTTTTTGGATTTCTAGGCACCTGATACTTAGGTGGAACCGAGGCACCTTCCCTGAGCAGAAGACCATGGGGTTTTCATTTTATGTTACGGAAAAGAGTTGCGGGAGCTGGTTGGACATCAGCCAGGCCAGCTGACTGGCCATGGGCATTGTGCTTCTGCGGAGGGCAGGGGTGGCTGGGCTTCACCTGGAACCATGACCTGCATTTGGAGGGGTGCTCTCCCCTTCTGCTGCTGTGGTCTCTGCACAGAGGGTAAGGGTCTCTGAGGAATCGATTTTGCCCCCTGCAAAGAGCCATATGCCACATTGGCTGTACTTCTGGCCTCCAGAGAGGCCCCTTTCCTCTTAAGAATTTGGCAATTTTTGGTGTTGTGGCATTTTTTTTTGGTGTCAGCAGTTCTGGGAATGGAGGTTGAATAGACCCAAGGCATGACACAGACTTTACCATGTGACATGCTCCTTCTCCGGGCTTTACGTGATAACCTGTCCATCTGTCTAACAGCACCCCTGGGCCTTGTCTCTCTTGCTGACCATGTGTGTGCTGATAGGTGTCCGTGCTTCTTGTCCTGCAGGTAGAGCCCCTGCTGTTGCTGAAGGCGGCCCTCATTCTGCAGACGTGCCAACGCGCACCTCACATCCTAGCTGGCTGCATCCTCTATAAAGGGCTGTGAGTATCGCCAAGCCCCCCACCTCCACCCACATCTCCTGCTGCAGAACTCACCATCCCAGCCTCCTCCAGATCATGGGTGGGGAGCGCAGTCTGTGGCTAGTGCCAAGTGGGCTGGTTGGCAAATAGTGGGTTGTTCAGGTTTGATCCAGAGTATGTACCCGTCTTTGAGCAAAGCTGGGAACTTGGAAATTACTGTGTTCCAAAAAGAGTTGAGAGCAAAAGGAAAGGGAACCGTGTTATTCTTGATGTGGAGAGGGCCTGTTATGGTTGCCCTTCTGCAAAATGCATTGCAAGGCCCTTGACAGCAGCTGGCATTATAAGTAAGGTCAAGGGGGTGGACATCTTTGTGGCTTGCCTCCTGCAGCCCAGGCATCCCAGTGCACTGACCGCAGCTCAGCCCTGCTGGGCGGTGTGACGTGTTGTTACAGGGCTCTTTCCAGTCTCTTAGCTGCATCTGTCTCTTGTTTGGCCTCTGAGAACAAACACACCTCTTCATGTAGTTGGAGGGCCTCTTCATGAGCCTGAGCACCTAAGAGCTGTTCCATGTACTTTCTAGGGCCTCTCTTCTCGGGGAGAGTTGGTTCTCAGAGTCTAGACCGGGCCATTGCTCTTTGCCCAGAGTTTTCCGCAGACCAGATGATTGTGGCTGGAGGTGGATTGAGACTCTGGTGGGGCTCTTGGGTCTGTGACTCCTGGCTGCTCTTCTTATCAGCCGTGTGGAATAGGGCAAGTTGTTTAACCTTGTCAAATAGAGAAACCTTGGAGAATGAAACGAGATGACAGATGTGGAGAGACTGAGCACCGTCCTGGTGCACGTCGTACACTCTGCCCTTCCCCATGTTCTCGTCTTGATGGTGCTCAGTCAGTATGGGAGCTTCCGAGATATCCAATGACAGAGCTGGCAAAGAGAGCATCTTTTCCTTTCCTTTTCCTTTTTTTATTGCCAGAGGATGCATGTGCTTGCCAGATTGAGATAGAGAGACAGAGAGGGAGAAAGCACCCGACAATGGGGTGTGGTCACACTGCAATCCCTTCTCCATTTCTCTGTCCTCTTAGGATTTGGGGCACATACGCTCACACACATGCACATTCGGCTTATTTCTCATTAGCCAGGGCTGGGATTTGCACTGCATAGATTAGCCATGAGGGATCTGGCCCCTTAACTACCAGGCCACAGGCCAGCCCTCTTTCTTTTTCTCTCTCTCTTTCTTTATTTTTTTTTTTTGAGAGGTTTTTGCTATAGGGCATGTGTGCTCACCAGAAAGACAGAGACAGAGAGACAGAAAGTGAGAAATCACCCCCCAGGGAGGATGGCCACACTGCAATCCCTTCTCCATTCTCTTCTCAGGATCTTGGGCACGCATGCACATGTGCCTGGCATGGGTCTAAGCCACCGGGTCCGGGACTCAAACCATGGTCAACTACATGGGAGTCCAGCGACATAGCCATTACACCAACTGCTGGTCCCGTTTTTCTCATTTTTAAAAAAGTTTATTTATTTATTTCTTCCATGATAGAGAAAGACCGGTGCTCCCAACAGAATCTTCACACCATGATCCTCCCCCAGGCTCAGCCAGGGGGCATGTGCACATTCATGCCGTGTGCACAGGGAGGCCTCAAGATGTGAACCTAGAACTGTCCCATGTGGGTCCAGTTGCATTATTACCACGCCACATCTGACTCTTCCTTTTATTATTTTACATTTCTTAAATATTATCATACAATACAGTTAGTACTTGAACACGTTCTCATTAAAAAAAAAAAATCAACCAAGAGGGAAGCTGTACCCAGAGCATAGCTAAACAGTTCCTTTCTTGGCCTGGCCCTGTGGTTTAGTCATTAAGGGAACCAGATACCCCATGGCCAACCATGGTTCGATGCCAGCCCCAGTGACTTGAGAAACTTCATAGGAGCATGTGCTTGCTCCAAATCCTGACAGGATAGAGAGGTGGATGAAAAAGGATTACAGACTGACCAGGTCCAATTGGGGAGGGGGGTAGTTTTTCTTTCACTGTCTCCCTCCTTCTCTCTGGCAAGCACACACACCCTCTAGCAATTAAAAAAAAGAGAAGTTTCTTCCTCCCTCCCTGTCAGCCATCACCACCCTCAGCAGTTGTTGAACACCCTTCCATTGCGCTCTCTCTGGTTCCTCACACTTGTACATAGTCGCATATATTGATTTTATTTTTGCTGTCTAAGAAGTGGGATTGGGTGTTCCCTTGACTTAATTTTATATAGGAGACATTTTTACGGGTCCAGATTAATACACCTGATACTCGTAAAGACTTCACACGTTTTGGTATTCTGCGTGTGATTTAGTTAATGACTGTCTTTTGTTGGACATTTAGGTTGCTTGGCCATTTTTTTTTTTTTTTTTTGGAGAGGTTTTTGCTATAGTGCGCGTGCGCTCTCCAGACAGACAGAGACAGAGAGACAGAAAGTGAGAGACAGAGAGACAAAAAGCGAGAAATCACCCCCCAGGGTGGATGGCCATGCGGTAATCTCTTCTCCATTCTCCTCTCAGGATCTTGGCCACACACACACACACGCGCCTGGTGTGAGTTTTAAGCCACCAGGTCCAGGACTCGAACCGTGGTCGACTACGTGGGAGTCCAGCGACATAGCCATTATGCTAACTGCTGGTCCCTTGCTTGGCCATTTTTAAAAATACTTTTACTGGGCCAGCAGTGGCATGCTGGTTGGATCACTCTACTCAGTTTGAGTCCCAGATCCGAGTTTGAAAACCACACTGGGCATGCGTGTGTACGTGTCCAAAATCCTGAGAGGAGAATGGAAGAGAAGAGATTGCAACCCCCAGGAGGTGATTTCTCACTTTCCCTCTCTCTCTGTCTCTCTCTGGCAAGAGCATATACCATATAACAAAAAGACTAAAAACTGTATTTATATTTTTAATGTAAAAAAATTATATATTTTACTTAATATCTGTTTTATATATAAGTATATATTTATTGTATATTTTATTTCATATAAAAATATATTTATATATCATTAAACCAATCTCCCTATACTGAATATTCTTTTTTTATTTTTTACACACAAAATATCTTTTATTCTGAATTACACAAATCAAAGGTCCAAATATATACTGTTCTGTAAAGATCCACGATTTCTGCTGAAGCTGAGTGTTTATGTAGGTGTAGGGTGAGATGAAGGTTCAAAAGGTCAGAGGTCAGTATTACTGAGCAGTAAGAATACACCTAAATGTGGAGATACTACTGTTAGAAACACTGACAAGGGACCAGCAGTTAGCGTAATGGCTATGTCGCTGGACTCCCTTGTAGTCGACCGCAGTTCGCGTCCCGGACCCGGTGGTTTAAAGTCACGCTGGGCGCATGTGCGTGCATGCCCAAGATCCCGAGAGGAGAATGGAGGAGAAGGAATTGCGGCATGGCCATCCCCTCTGGGGCGTGATTTCTCGCTTTCTGTCTCTCTCTGTCTGTCTGTCTGACGAGCACACGCACCCTGTAGCATAAAAGAAAAAAACCTCTCCAAAAAAAAAAGGTCCACTGACAAATGGTGTAATTACATAGGCGTTCTTTAAATGAATTCTCTCACATTCACCAGTACATCATTTATCTTTATTGACTATAATTGCCAAGTTGTAGGGACAAACCATTATAACCACATTAATATCTGAAATCGTTTTGATGTCTGATAATACCTGAATACTGGGTAGCATCCAATTAAAATGATCAGTATAGCTTTCGTTCATCAAAGAAAATATTTTATTGAAGTTCATCAAACAAACTTGAGGAATTATGTTGTTTGAATTTTTGTGTTTTTTTGGAGAGGTTTCTGATATAGGGCGCGTGTGCTCGCCAGAGAGACAGAGAGATGGAAAGCGAGAAATCACCCCCCAGGGGGAATGGCCATGCCACAATCCCTTCTCCTCCATTCTCCTCTCGGGATCTTGGACATGCATGTACACACGCCTGGCATGAGTTTAAGCCACCAGGTCCGGGACTCAAACCGTGGTTGACTACGTGGGAGTTCAGTGACATAGCCATTACGCTAACTGCTGGTCCCTGCTGTTTGAATTAAAGTCATTCAGTGGGAGATGAAATCATCATACACGCTGAATCAACTGTCCCATATGGGATCTTTACATTTGTAAGAGTCTACTAGGCTAGACCCGTTGCTGCCTTCATTGCTTTTGCTTTGCTTTCCCCCTTTGCTTTCTCTCGCTTTGCCTTCAGTTTTTTTCTATGCCTCTGTTTCATCCAGACTGGGTACTGTTCGTGCTGGTCTAGAAGACTTTTTATTTCTCTCTCTCTCTCTTTTTTTTTTTTTTTTGGAGAGGTTTTTGCTGTAGGGTGCGTGTCGCACACACACACTGCAGGATCACGCCCACCCGTGTTCTGAATATTCTCATGCGTACATCTTGGCGTAACTGGATCAAAGGATGTAGACATTTCGTATGTTGGTCGGAACCACTGAGTGCCCTCTATGAGGGCTTTCCTGCCAGAAACTCGCACTAGCTGTGTCTGAGATCGTCGTTGGCGTGGATGTTAGGACTCTTTAGAACTCAGGGCCCTTCCCTGTATCCCTTCTCACAGTGTTTTCGTCTCTGCGTCTGATCTAGGATTGTGAGCACCCAGCTCCTGCCTGCCCTCACTGCAAAGGTCCTGCTTCACCGATCTGCACCTGAGCACCAGGTATTGTGGGGCCTGCCGGCCATCCTCACACCTAACAGGGCGGACCCCTGCGCTGGATAGATCGAGAGAGGCCGCTGTGGCCTTGGGCAGTTGTTTCCCTTAATCTTGTCAGGTCCCCAAGGCTGTCAGTGTGGTCTGGCTCAAGAGTGAAGCCACAGGAGAGGCTAAAAGAAAAGAAACGGTTTTCTTATGCGTGGTAAGCTTGGTTGTCAGTTTTTCTTCC